TGAGCTCAAGGGACTCACCACAGAACCAATCGAGGCGGTGGTTCGATCGGAGACGGCCTGAGCCGAGCTGGCCGCGTGCGCACGGGCGGTGCGGCGGTGCACGACGATGGCACGGCCGCGTCAGGGAAGGCTAGGCGGCGGTAGCGCTTTGATCGAGGTGCGCAAGGCGATTAGCACATGGAGGCAAGACTAGCGGTGCAAGGAATTGCCACGAGCTGCTCTAGATAAGTGGCTTGCCGACGGCACATACCAACCCGATCTTAAGGACCCGGCGGAGCGGTAGCTCCAAATTGGGGCACGGTGCGGCAATACTTGCAGCAAGGTGGGGTCGGGGAGTTGGTGGGCTACACGATGGAGTTGCGTACGGGGTTAATTTGATTGCGGTGCCTCCACCACAGCGAATTGAAGGAAGCGGTTCCGGTGGCATGGCGACCAAGGAACAGGGAAGGTAGGCGGGGTTAGGCTCGGCGCTGTCGTGGTAGAACGTGGCCGTCAACTCACAGCACAAGCGCGCACGGCGATGGGGAACAACGGGACGTGCTTAAGACGCTTGGTCACACTACCAAGTACGCAAGCCAACGGCGGCTTGGCACCATGCGCCGTAGAGGCGGGCAGGCCCGGGAAAAGCAGCGGCATAGTGGGGCAGCGAACACGGGCGTGATGGAAAAGTTAGGCGGTCGGCCCACGCGCGTGCAGCCGCGACAGGTCAATGGGAGCAGTGTTGCGCGGCAGCGATGGACGGCGCGCAGCGCGACCCGGGTGTAGTGCGATGAGACGGCGAGGCAGAGCAGCCAGGCCCATCGGCGTGGTGCTCGTGCGTGCGTGTGCCAGAACGCAGCAACAGGGCCATGCCCAGCAGCGCAGGGCCACGCGTGGACGTGCGCGCGCAGGCACGACGGGCGGCCCAGCACAGCGTGCCGAGAGTCGGCAGGGTGACCGCGCCCAGCCGCTGGCATCGCCCACCATGTGACTTGCATGCTTTTTAAAGCATCCCAAAAACTCAAACCCGATGATCCAAATGCCAAATCAGTTATTCTATACTCAAGAGGGTACATGGGGCTATCAAACAAAGCCAAAATATCTTGCCACTACTTTACCCGATCATTCTACAAAAATTGTCGAACATGGCTTCATCGACCCATTTTCAGACTTACGCGAAATGACTAAGCTTCAAACGGTTTCACGTCGAATTCGTTTTCCAAACTACTTGATACACTAGCTAGCGAACCTCGTCCTCGACCGCACGTATTTCATCGTCGCCTACGAAGTTCGGGTTTCCAACTTTACTACGTTCCGCATATGCGTTACATAGCATTTTCGTCCGATAAAAATTCATTTAGAACCCTAAGTTATAATACGCGACATAAAATATAACATTCGTTTCTTGTTTCAAATGAACGTTTCAAGTTCCGTATTTTTCTTTACACCCTATAACTCATATATTTACACACAATTACACATATGTATGATGTTCATGCAGTGTTTTAGCAAACTGAACAGTATAACACCGAGGGTGTTACAACAGAGGACCGCCCTGTTGCAAAGGCAACACATTCCAGGATCTTTAATGCAAAGCGTGAGTCTGTAGTACTAGTGTTCCGTTGCTCCGCGTGATTATCTAAAAGCCTGAGCCCTCTTTTGCAAAACGCGAGCGCACGGGCGCCCCCAGCCTTGGGCCATTGTTGGGCCGTCGTGACGCGCGCGCAGCTGCGCCGCGCTGGGCTGTCGGGCCAAAATGGTCGCCACCGACCATTTTTCTTTTCTAAGCATTTTCTAATTTAGCTTTTAAGGTAAATTTGTAAATTTAATATAAAATTATGTAGTTAACCAAAAATTATGAAACCAATTTTGTTAAGTTCTTAAAATCATGATCTATCTGCTAGTATATTTTATTCATATAGTTTTATAATATTTTCAGAAGTGATCTAATTAAATTGGGATGCTTAATATTGTTAAAATATAAATTTATAGGAATTGCTGTGATAAATTGGCGATAGTGTTGGATCTGAAACTTTCACAGTAAATTTCTAACATTATTAGGTGCTCACTGTAATTTTTGTAGCGCTATAATAATTAGTTTGCTAGGTATCTAAATGAGCCCTAGCTCGAAAATATAAGTTTAATCAATAAAATGCCGAAACACCTTGCGATTTTAAAACTAGAATATTTTTTTGGAGACAAAGTCTTACTAGGTGACGGGGATACATAGACTAGTACGTTAGTCATTAAAGATAGCTCGTTAGCTTGCGGAGTGTAATCGTAATTGAGAGTTGTAGTTGCCGTTAATTACATCTCTGCGTTGCATCCACGTATATCATAATAAGAACAACGATGGATCATGGAGTCAACCGAGGTAGCGGAAAAGATGATGTCTTGATGATCGTGTCACTATGATGGAATGCTAACTTTTGGTTATATCTTACCCAAACAAGCTCCGGTGCATAACCCCTATTATTCTACACTTTTTATTTTATACTTGTGCATTAAGTTTTAAGGAGTTGGATGAAAACCACTTGCATATATATATCCTTATCCTATGAGTCTTACTAGTATGTTAGGATCGTGTAGATTGCTATGCTATAGGATCCGGTAGAAGTCAAGTGATTATCTGTCACTCGCGAGATATAGGAAAGATATTATTGTTATTATATTACTGTCATATGAAATATATATGAATGATAAATGGAGATTGGGCGGAATGGTACTTTGGATCTGGACCTAGTTTGGGATTCGAGCGAGGCTTGGATTGCACTTGTTTCGCCTGTGTCGATTGAGGATCGTCCGTTGTTGTGGATGGTAGTCAGGTCACAGACTTATTATCCTGAGCACATACTTGCTTATGGGAGCGGGAAGGCTTGTTGCTCTTTTGTCATGGGTTATGGCTCTTTCCAGACCGACTGATTGGAGGCGGGGATGGTGGAGGTCTAAGCACCACACTAAGTCTAGGACTCAGGATAGGGGGCTTGAAGTCTAAGTTTGGACGGGGACCTAGACACCTTGACAGGAGAGTGGTGGGCTGATCTTGCTTGTGCCTGAGGTACAAGCGGGGCATGTGTTTCGGGATACCCAGCTGGGATGCATCGGTTCATGAATCGCCGTGTAATACGATACTACTTGGCTATGGTCTAGCATCGTAGTAAGAACTGAAACTCAAAAGGTAATAAAATAATTCTGATTGCTTACCAGCTACTTAAAAATAGCATAGGTGCTTACATACAATGTTTAATTAATGAACTAATGATGAGTGCTAATAAAATTGAATATAAGGATACACGTTTAGTAATGCTTCCACAGATGCAATAACCCACAAGCCAAATAAGCCTTGCATATCCTTGGAGTCTTTTATTTTTCTCCTGTCGGGTAAGTCTTGCTGAGTACAATCGAGTACTCAGGGTTTTATTCCCCTGTTGCAGGTGATCGGAGGATACTTAGAGCTAACTCTTGTGTGTGGAAACCTCTTGGTGGGCTCAGAGAGGATTCCTTTCATGCTATGACCGTAGTGTTTATTTATAACCCTCACGAAAGATTTTTATAAGAAAAGATGTAAAATCTGCTAGCATCTCTTGTATAAAAATGTCCACTATATTAATGCTCCACCATGTCATTCAATTAATTTTGTTTTCTCTGTAACTCTGATAACATTGTTATATTCCGCTGTTATAATAAATTGAGGTAATATTCTGGTACTGTAATAAAGTGATGTAAGAAATGACTCAAGAATGTTGTAAGCTTTATTCTCTCATTCATGATCCTGATGGAAAAATATGGATTTTCGAGTTCTCCCTTGGGGTGTGCTCGACAGAACTACGTAGTTTAGTGTCCTCTCTTGGGTACTTAGGCCCCGTTCGGCTTACCCTATATCTGGCTTGTTCGGCTTCTTTTTTCAGTCGAAACAGTGTTTTCTCTCACAATATTTCAGCCAGAATAATGTTTTTCAGCTAATTTAAGTCAAGATTCAGTAAGCTGAATGGGGCCTTAGTGTCTAATGGAAAACAAGTACTCCTGGGAGGTATTAGATTAGGTGGTTCTGCCACACCCGTGTCCAACCCAGGCCTAACCACAGGCAACCCTAGCCCAGTCATTCTCGATTTGGAGTTAGCACTCGCACACATCACTCCTATCTCCCTCCCTCCCCCTTCATTTCTTCTCTCGTTGGAACAGCCAAACTGGAGAGGTGGCCAGCGTCGGCACCGGCGGCGACACCCGCCATCGAGTTTCCTTCCTCGCCTTGCATACCCCGCTCTGCGCTGGTCTTGTAGTGCGGACTACGGCAGCTGCGGGCGGCGGCGTCGGTCGGTGACGGCGGCGGCTCTACAGGGCTATGTGCCGATTTGCTTGGGCATCCCCCCGCACTGCGCTGGTCTTGTAGTGTGGTCGGCGGCAGCGGCATTGTACGGTGACAGCGGCGGCGGCGACTGCGGACCGGGCGGACGGCGGCTACGGCGGCATAAGCGATGGGCGACGGTCACCTGGATCACTCTGCGTGGTGACCACAACCTCCGCCGCCTCTCAATTGCCAAGAGCTCCGGTGAGCCACATGTATCTCGATCTTGATCATTTTTTAGTCAGTTTAGCATTGTCTTACATGATTGGAAAATTTGCGATGAGATGATTCAGGGAGGGTTCACGTTCATTTCCTGAAGGCAACGTTGATGTAAATTTCTAAATTAGGATTTAGGTCAGTGATCCCGTGTAATTGATACTTATGTGCTAGCTGCTAGCACTGGGATAGGCTTAAATTTTGAGCTGCTTACTTAAAATTTAGAACCAAATTTTATAGGATCAACCCCTCTAGCTTTAGCAGCTTTTGTGTGGGACAGGAATTTCTCTGGAAATGCTTCAACTGTCTTGAAGTTCCTATAGAATATGCTACCTGCACTCGTCCTTATACTACTAGGATTTTTTTCACCGAATTATCATATTTCCATGATATGTATGGAGTTCCTAACAATTATTGAGTTTTGCTTGAAATGTGACGTGAACTGCAGCCGGAGCTCGTAATGGATAACATAGGTGAAGATGAACATGAGGAGGAATTGGACTTCCATCTTGGGACTGCTGATGATAGCAGTTCGGATGATGAAAACATGTCGTTGAATTCAAGTTTATCATCAATGGGAAAGGATGTTGGTGGGGATGCACAAAGAGATGCACCGGTAAATTATCCATATGACTCCCTATTTATTTGATCATTATTGTGGGTTTATGGCAGCTAGTTTGTGACGATGTTTCATATGTCCATACTAATGAAACACAACATTTGCGTATGGAGGAAGATGGCAACTGTACTTATGACCAGGATATATTTACGAGAATGGCAGCTGGTGTAGAGATGAACAATACATTGGATGAGTACTGAGACATAGTAAAAAAGACCATTGCAAGTGAAGGGGAGGCTTACATTTTCTACAACAAGTATGCGAGGGACAAGGGTTTCCATGTTAGAAAGCAGAAGGCGAGACATGCCAAGCACTCTGGACAACTATTGTTCAGGCGGTTCTTGTGTTCTCGAGAAGGCGAGCGAGAAACAAAATAGCTAGAGAAGGAGGATTTCAGCCATAGACCAAGAGCTCTAACTTGATGTGTTTGTCAGACAAAACTGGATATCGGACTGGATCGAACCCATGGTGTATGGTATGTGAGTAATTTTGTGGACGAGCACAACCATCATCTTGCCACAGAAGATGAAGTTCCATTCCTACGGTCTTACCGGAAATTAAAGGATTTCCAGAAAACAGAAATCATGGCAATGGAAGCTGTTGGGATCCGTAAACATGTCATTACGAATGTTCTTTAGTGCAGATACGGTGGGTACAGTGAAGTTGGCATCGTTAGGAAGGATGCATACAACTTCTCTTCTAGGTACAAGAGAGCTAGGATCGCACAAGGTTGGTTTGCGGTTATTGAATTACAAATGCATGTGTGGCTGCTGACTCACCTGCTACTTTTCAAAAAGCACACCATGGACGCATAGGTGTCTAGTAGACCCCGCCAAGCCCCCGCCAAGTGGCTGAATTTGGATGTTTAACCCATCTTATGTAGTCATAGCCTTCGATTTTGGAAAGTAAAAAATGCACAATTCTCGCACAACTGCCTCTGTTACTTTCAGCCTGTATCTACCCTGCTGGTTACACAAGTCCTCCCTTCCAGAACAGCTATGAAATATGAATCCAACGAAACATCTCAACTAACGAACTATAAATGAACGACCAGCATCACCAACACATGATCAAAAGATCACTTGACTCTGCACAAAGTTTACAGACTCAACTTAGGGGGAAAAAACAGGGTCACCATATGCTACATCTCTCCCTGCACTAGTTTCTCCAGTAGTTCATCAGCCATCTCCAGATTCTTCGGCTGTAGCAACGGACGCCTATTCTTGTGGATCGTCGAAGTATAATTCAAGATCTAATTGTTAAAAACTGTATCCTTCCTTGTATTCCACAATGTTCAAAGAACTCCTGCATAGAGAAAAAGAATTAAACATTTTTTGCTGCCTCTACCTTGATCCACCACCTCAGAAAAAAAAAGCCCTCCTCTAAGAGTCGTTCATGTAGAGTCCTTATGAATTAAAGTGTAGTTTCTTTAACTATGGAACGTAACTAAGGAGACCAATTACAGCTACATTTCCTCTAAAATGAAATTTTAGATGAAATACAAGTGTTTTTTTTTCCTCAAGTTATACCTATCTGCAGGTAGTTGCTCCAAACAATTTTGAAGACTGCATAGTATGATATGATTTAACTTGGCCAATTTGCATATGACCATTGGTGTCCATTTCAAGATACTTTGGTCCTATTCGCTTCGCTGAAAAAACGAGCCGAAACACTGTTCCGACTGATTTGTTGTGAGAGAAAAACACTGGATTAAAAAAACAAGCTAAAAAGTACGGATTATAAGAGAAGCGAGCCGAACAGTGCCTTTGTTGAAACTTATTGATTATGGAGATGATGAAAATGGCGACGATATGTGACAGATAAACCAACTCCGGGTTCAGAGCAGAAACCACTTTTAACTGTTTAAAACTGCATCTACTAATGTAGTCTAGTGCGCATTCAAAATTGCAGATATGGATGTTTGCTGTCCTGGTGCATCTTCTGAATCAAAGAGGCAGTTGAGCTTCTTGTTCTCACGACTTGTTTAGTTCATCTCCTAAAGTTTAGTTCCTATCACATCATATATTTAGACACGTACATGGAGTATTAACTATAGACTAAAAAATAACTAATTGTACGGATTACGACTACTTTGCGAGATGAATTTTTTAAGACTAATTAGTCCATGATGGGACAATATAATGCTACAGTAAAGCTACAGTACATATGCTAGTGACGGATTAATTAGGCTTAATAAATTCATCTCGCGGATTCCAGAGGACTTCCGTAATTTATTTTATTATTACTATCCGAATACTCCGATATGACATTCCCATATAGCATCTGATATGATACCTCTAAACTTTGGCCTTTGATTTAAAGGCCACTTAATCAAAATTGTTCTTAAGGCCGAACTTGAGAAACTGACATGCAACAAGATTAACAGCAACACAGCAGGGGAGGTGTTGACGGAGATTCAGCGGAGGGCCAGATTTCATGTGTAGGACGGAACGAAAGATGAAAGAAATCCCTGTGCATTGTTAATCCAAACATGAAATAAAGTTTCTTTTTTCTAATCCAAACACGAAGGGAGGCCCGTTTGGCTCGCTGAAACTTAACTGAAAAATACTCTTCTAGCTGAATTGTTGTGAGAGAAAACACTAAAAAACAAGCTGAATAATACGGATTATAAGTTAAAGCGATTGGGGCTGGAATTAAACTGAAGAGAGAGGATGAAAGCACACGCACACATGGTACACAGAGCGCAGGGATTGGTTGCAGAGAGGAGAGGTCAAGGGCAGCAAGGAAGGGAGGACGAACTTACAGGTAGCTGAGCTCCGACAGCTGGATGAATCAAGTCAATTCTTAGGAAGCCGAGCAGATTGGCCTCGATCGCTGGGTGGTGCCCCCGTCGCCCATCGGCGGTTCGCCTACGCCACACGTCCCGTCCTGTCTGCAGCCGCACATGCCACCGTCCGTCCCGTCTCCCGTCCTCCATGGCCCCGTCCACCGCTGTCTGTCGCCGCCATCACCGCCGCCCCGTCCGCCGCCGCTGCCAAGACCTTCGTGCGACGCCGCCGCCGCCCCTCGCCCGTCGGCGCGGCGAACGAGCCCAAGCGCGGACTTGTGCCGGCGCTGTCCCCGGCCTCAGCCTCGCCTCGGCTCCCTCCGTGCGCCGCCGCCGCCAACGCCTCTCGCCCGTTGGCGATGCGAACGAGCCCGAGCACCTCCGTGTATTGTGGATCAAAGAAAAAGTCGGAGTCGTCTAACTAATGCTATGGATCCAGTGGACTACGCCTAGGCATGGGCTTGGAGTCTTGGACACGGGGTCAGCCCGAGTCCAGATCCAAACGTAACTAGTTTTAATTAATTACCCAGGTGCTTTGAGATGCGTGCAACCTTTGAAAAGAGGACCAGCAGAGCAAAACTAAGTTCGCAAATCTAGGTGACACATGCCATATTTATGGCAAGAAGGCAAATCAATACCGACCCCAAAGGGTTGACGTCAAGTGCATCACTCAGCAAGTTCAAAGGCATAAAACTTCAAATTGATAGTCCATGGCCATGCCCTAGATGATAACCTCAACAGATCTAGGACTGCTTGTGTTTGTTTGTGCTTGACAATAACATGACCCTCGGGTATCATTATGGAGAACATAGCTGCTTCCGCGCTTCCCAGGACACAGGGTCAACCGGGCCGACTACTCGGAGTCCTGCATCTACTTGGGGTATCTTCACTGACATAGAGAACAAGACATAGTTAGATACAATCCTCGATATCTCGGGAAACCTTATTGTAACCGAACACCATAATAGGAAACGAAACCAACTATATAAGTTATAACCCTGCCCCTCTATTACATATGTATTCGCTAGTCATTTAACTAGGGAACATTTGAATCGTTGAGCTGAAGGTTACAAGAGAAAAGAGTTGGAAGTTTGGATCTTCACCGGAATGAAATTTAAAATTCGAGTCAATGTTCAAAACTATTTGGTTAAAAGTTTAATTATTTAGTGTGAATGTTCACTGATTAACTATCTTCGATTCTGAGCGTTCATCACTTCGCCCTCCATTGATACGGGATGGGATCTAGCTCTAGACAGAATTCTTGCGGACGCGAGATCTCTCTTCTTGTAATATATAAGGAGTAGCTCGCCCAAAAGACACGATGAAACAATTTTGAAGTGTCCATACACATTATGTGTATACCATAATCATCGACATATAGGCCATAGTTGGTACCAATCCACACCAAGACCAACATAATACGGAGTATATCATTAATCTTTTATTTATAATTATCAATCAGGATAAATTACAATTATCAATCAGGATAAATTACAATTATCTCAAAGAAAATTAAAATCCGAGTATAGTTGATGGTTTTGCACTTCCATGTCTGTTACCTCGCACTCGCAACCACAAACGAGCGCAGTACGTAGTCCCGGTATATATCGTCAACGTCCTTACGCCGATCACGATCAGCACGCCCCAGCCTTGAACCCCACGGCGCCCCCGCCAACGTCGTACAGCACCTCGAACGTCCGCTGCTGCACGTTGCCGATGATGCCGAGAGAGCTGTCGTCACTGTTGGCCGCGAAGGCGAGGCAGAGGATGCTGCTGCTGGTCTGCAGCATGATCCCGTTGGCGTCGAGGTTGACAACGGCTCCCCCGGAGAACACTAGCGCGACGGTCGGTATGCTGACGCTGGACTGGCCGCTGAAGTCAAAGCAAGTGTCGAGGATGCCGCTTGGCGGTGCCGGCGGGTACTGCTTCATCCCGGCCTTGAACTCCGACGACAGCGCCGAGTAGGCCGTCCGAGGCAGCCGCGTGAGGACGGTACCGGAGTCCATGATCGTCCCGGCGGAGAAGACCGAGGTGGGTATTCTGAGCTGCCTCCCGCCCACCCTGATGGCCTGAATGCGCACGCCGTAGAACGTGGGGACCTGGCCGCTCCTGAGCATCGGCGTCTTGACGAAGCCCGAAGTTCCGGCGCCGAGCGTGAGGAACCCGGAGGAGCTCGGCGTCGGCGGGAGGCAGTACGAGAAGGCCGTGCCGAACGTCCCCGCCGTCTGTGACGCCAGCGATTGCGCGCCGCCGCCGAGCCCCATGAGCCCGTCGGTCTGGTCGCTGAAGCCCGACTCCACGTTGCTACACCCGAACTGGAACTTCCTGACGGTGTTGGAGCCCAGCGCGAGCGTGTCAGAGCTGTAGGTACCCGTCGTGCTCGAGCCGTCGCCGTACGTGACAGTGTACTGGCACTGAGAGCTGGAGCAGCCGTTGCCTTCCTGGCCGAGCTGCGCGCAGGCGGCGGAGCTGCAAGAGAACGGGGAGTACGTGCTGGACGAGCTGGGGTCGAAGAGTGGGTCCACCTGGGAGTGGCACTGCGAGCAGGGTTTGCACTGCACCCATGACACGTCGCTGCCGGTGTCGATGAGCATGGTCTGGGACTTGCCCGGCGAGCCGAGGCGTACGGTGATTAAGTACTCCAGCGTGTCCAGGAGGTGCCCAGGGTCGTCGGCACGGTGGCGTCCGATTGCTGGACGTCACCAGCGCCACGGCCGCCCTTGACGCCGCCTGAGAACTTCCGCTGGATGTAGGCAGCTAGGAGCTGGTCGCGGTGGAGCCTCTCCTCCAAAGTTGGCATCTTCTTGGTCGGCAACGGCGAGCATGGGCCGTGACGGTGATGCAACGGCACCGTGGCAGCACCGGACGACGACGACTGAACCGCTGGGAACCATCAAAGCAAGGGAAACGATTGCCATATATTAGTAAAACTGTGGACAAAATAATCAACCAAATGGAAGGAAAGCAAACTGTTGGTGCGTGCACGGACAGTACTGCACCTTTGGACTCGGAACAGACGGACTTAGTCCTCAGAGAGCCGCCAATGGACAGCACAACCCTGTGGCTGCCATCATCACCTGCGTGAGCAATGTGAGAGCGATAGCTGAGAAAAAAGAGGAGGCTCAGGAGAAGAAGCTTCGGAACAGAGGCCATGGCTTGCGGTTCCTTGCTTGCCACTTTGGCAGGCAATGCTGCAGGAGCTGAGATATCAGAGATGCAGTGAGTTGCCGCTTCAGAATGCACCCTGCTTATATAGAGGGAGGCAGGGAGCAACATGAACTCGGGTGCCCCGGCACCTACGCAACCAGTATTCATACCACGACGGAGACTCGTGGTGGACTAGGTAACGGTGGCGTGCATACATGGGGGGACGACCAAATCGGACTCCAAGGCGTGCGGTCTTCTTCAACGGATGTTGCCGCCTAGATGAGCGCACAAAAAGGCCACTTTTGAATTCTCTGTGATAAGATTGGGCGTCCTCGGGCTGGATGATTAGGTAAGAACGTCATCTTTACTGAACGAAGATAGTGTATTTGAGTTCGGAAATTTAACTTACTGGATGATTATTAGGCAACTGGCTTATTTAATAATAACGCATTTGCGCAGCAAATTTCGACTTCAAATCCTTGCTGGAGTTTGGAAACTATATATTCGCCCATATACCGGGGCAAGTTTCTCTCCATTTTGTTGCGATGCGGTGTCCGTTCGGATGCTGCTCCCGCGCTTGAGCCCAACGCACGCTCCGCGCCCATCCCCGCTCCTGAGACAGCGTCGGCCCGGATGGAGCTTACCGCACCTGCGCCCGATACACACATCATGGAGGCCCGCGTCTCATCCCGCCCGATGCGTCGCGCTCGTGCCCCTTCCACTCCACGTCCCGCCCGATCCGCCGCGGCATCCCATCGCCGCTGCTCTCATGTCCGCGCCCTCTATCTTCGTCACACCAGAGAGCCACAACAGCTGGACCACCAAGGGCTTGGCTTCCTCCACACCTACATCTAGATCTACTTTTGCAACAATCAGATGAAACAATTACAACATACGTCTAAAATTGATGAAACATTCGGAACATACACATGCAACATATATCTGAAAAATAGATAAAACACTTAAAACATGTGTGCATGGCCATAGCAACATACTCCCTTTGTCCCTAAATAAAAGTTATTCTCGCTTCCAAAAAGAAAAGAACTTTTAACTTTGATCAAGTATATTTAACAAAATATTAATATCTATGGTACATAATTAGTATCATTAGGTAGATCGTTGAATATACTTTCATAATAAACTAATTTGGAGATATACACATTTTCTATAGACCTAGTCAAAGTTGAGAAAGTTTGACCAGCACGATTCCCATAGCGACTCTTTTTTTTTTTGACAAAGAGAGTATGCAATATCCAGATCTACTTTTGTAATATCAAGATGAAACACTTGTAACATAAGTCTGAAAACATATGAAACATTTGAAACACACGCTTGAAACATGCGTGTATAGCCATAACAACATACGCAACATCCAGATGAAACACTTCAAACATATATTTGAAACAACTAAAACACTTAAAACATAGGCTTGCAACATGTCTAAAAATGACTGAAATACTTGAAAACAAAAGCGTCGCCGACAGTCACGGCCTACCTGGTGGAGAATTGCAATGACACAGGCCTCCCCTTCCTGCCGACGGCACGAGGTGGAGAGAGGTGCAGGCCTTCCCTGCCTCCCCTTCCGCGACGGGCGAGGTGGATGAGGGCGTGGGCGGGAGGGCGAGGCGCGGGGCGCACGGAGCCAGCGGCGTGGGCGTGGCGTGCGGAGCGGTCCGTCTGGACAGGACGGACGCCCATGGCGTACCATTAGTGATTTGTTGTAAAATAAAAGAAAATTTGAATATCGTCGTGGCTTCGAAAATATAAGTGCTTGGACTTTTTTTCAACATATTTATAGAACATAGGAAAAGTGTACTCAAATTCATCAATTATTTGCAGTCATACAGAAATGGGTGATTTGAACTACTCAATGCAGTAATATCTAGTCCGTATTCAACCAAAGGTTGAAATGGGTGATTTGAACTACTCAATTCATCAATTATTGCAGTCATATAGATCTAGACAGTTAAAAGCCAAAAAACTACGCAGCGACAAAAGCGAGGGTGGGTTCCAGAGAGCCGACGCTGAAGCTCCTCCTTTGCTCCTTGCCACCACCGCTGCTGCCGCCTAGGCCCCTCCTGCGGTGAGTCTATCGGTGATAAAATGAAGAGGGGACTCATCGCTCTTTTACCATAATTTCTTTTAGACCTAGATTATTTAAGGTTTAGCCCAAATAAATCTATGAATAAAATCAAACAATTTTTTTTTATCAAGATATTGTTACCTGTGAGATGGCTTTGGTGATTGTCGCGACAATGTCGTCATTGGCCGATCTATAGCCATTATCGACAAAGGGATGGTGCTTCTTGACGCTCTCCACAAGGACAAAAACTTCAAGTCATTGATCTCATCATCAACGTGGGTGCACTTCTCGTGTCGAGCTCCCTCGCAACATCCACGGCTCATTCAGGTAGAGCTTCGTTTGATGACGAGTGGGTCCCATACAGTAGTATCTCCTAAAGTAGATATGAGGGCTATTGCTGGAGTAGGTGTAAAAAATCCAAGCCCTCAAAAAAATGAGGGAGCCCTCAAACCAAAAATAGGAGCTCTAATTTGAGGGCTCATGCTAGAGTTGCTCTAATGGATCAGAGTCTCCAGCTTATATCCTTTCAAATGAGCAAGTCTCTAGGACTCCTTCAAAAACACTACATGCTAAGGTAAGACTCCCGGTTTGTTTTGCAAAATTAATTAAAATTTCCTATATCATTGCTTCACAACCACTCCTGATTTTGTTTTGGCTTTTCTAGATATATAGATTTTACTATGCACTTAGACATACACTATATATAAATACCTAGAAAAGGCAAAACGTATGATTAGAATGGAGGGAATAATATTCTTGATGTTTAAATTTTGTATAAATATAAGCGTAGTATTCTACCTCAGTCAAAACAGTTATTGTTGAATTATCTCTCAACCTCTCTTCCCACAACCAGCCAATAAAAAAATCCCTCACAGAGACCAAGCAATATATGTACTTCCTCTGTTCTATATTACTTAACATTTTAGACTCTCTCACGGAGACCAACTTAGAAAGCAAAAGACCAAAATATCCCTCAAGGAGTAGAGATGGAGATGTATTGGGAAAGAGAAATATGTATTGGGAAAAGAGAAAGATGAATGGGAGGAAGTGAGAAGATAAAAATATTTTGGTACAAAATTTGAATCATATAAGGTCATCTATTTTAGGACGGAGGGAAGTATTTATTTTCAAGCCCATACAAAAAGCATCATCCTCAATTTCAAAAGCAAGAGAGATAACACATATAAATTTCAGTAGGGTGCATTTATAGGAAAGGTAACTCAACACCTAAGACAAATATAATACAGTAAGTTATATTAGCTTGTGCTTGGCTTGTAGCCAGACAAGTCAGCAAAATCCAATGCAGATGAGAGTACTATAGAGAGAGTGTGATTGTCAGAGTTTACATGCAGGCCTGTTGTGACCTCCACCCTGCAAGGCTGCAACACATGTTAGATGAGCTGTTTTCCTCTTGACTATACAGTAAAAAAATGATGCTGCCATATCCTTTGTTCTTCCTCCCCGCTGTCGTTATAACTCGGCTATAAATCTAGCTTATTGGGCTTACTTTTGATTGCAAATGAACCTGACATAACCTCTCTAGATGGACTGGACCAGTGACCAATGGCCAACACGTTCTAGTTCGTGGTATTCATCAGTTGCTTTCTTGACCCATTTCCGCCCCTAGCTCCGCCTGTTCCGCGGTTGGCGACGCCGTCGCCGTGGGGCAAGTGTGGTCGCCAGCCGCCGGACCTTTTCCCTTGGAGTACGTACGACTGTACCAGCCCGGAGTAAATCATCCCATCTGACATTCCCTGCCGGCTTCCCTTTGTTTGCTTCGTTCTGCTCGGCAAGGAGGCAGCGTACGTGGAAACGCGATGGACTTTGCTTGCGCCGACGCACTTCGATGGAATCTATCTATCATATAATTGTGGACAAAACACGTCAGCAGATAGATGTCACAACACCGGCCTGTATAGTGTAGACAAAACACGTATGCATCATTTCTTATCACAGCGGCATTTACCGGGATGATCCATTTGCTTGCGCTGCGTGCCATGCGCGTTCCTCTTGCCGCGTGATGACTGTCGTGAGAACGGGTTGCTAGCTGTTCCCGTGGAAATTGTGCGCGCACTGAGCTTTCGCCGCCCGTAGCTGTCGGACTTCGTCTGCGCTCGGTTGTGTTGTGTGGGTTCGGCGGGTTTTGTTTGTGTGGCGCGTCCGTATCTGCAACAGCGACGTGCGTCGTCAGGAAGCAGATTCCTTCTACGCTTGCGTCTTATAGCTTGTGTGTCGCCTGCGGCAGTTGGTGACTCATCGACGGGTATCTTCTCTCTACTAGTCTACTACACTAATGAACGGTACTACGTGTGCGTACGCGCTGTGCCGTTGTTGTTTGAGAGTCTGAGAGAGATGGACGACAGGCCGCAAGAGCTTTCCAGGAGCTGTGTGTGCAAGCTTCTCCGGCCGGGCACAGAGCGCGCGCGCGCGTGCGTGTGCGTCCGTTTCGTGTCCATGCAGGCTCCGTGCTGGCGGCGCGTGCGATGGGTAGCGTGCTCCCACCGGCGCTCTCTAGCGTTGCAACAAGCCGGAGGGAAACGATCTCGACTTGAAAGGAATTGTGTATGCGAATATATATTTGCATCTCCATCAGAAAATTAAGATACTTCGTCCCTTCCAAAATGTACCCCAGAGGTCCGATAGAAATCATAACAGGACGTTCCCACTAGAAGCTAGCGATTCAATCAATTAACCAAGTTTATAGACATCTAGTCATCTACACAACATCATATTGCTTTCAGTATTTTCCTTCAAAAGAATTATTTCCATTATTAATTACTATAGTATAATGCCCGTGCTAATGCTATGACTTTATTTTAGGGATGCACATAAAAACAACCAAACAATGATGTTTTTTTTCCATAGTTCAACTTTTATACAATTGTATTTGAACATGTATACAATCCGAGAAACCCTTTTGCAT